GAAAATAACTTACTTATCAATATTCAATAGGAACACAAGTGTCCGAAGCATTCTAGGGCAGATAAGAAGCAGTCAAGTTGACTAGGTCATTCAAGACGCCATCTTTTTCAAAGCAAATATGATAATTTCAATCAAATCACAAAAATATACTCACATTAAATGTAACAATACATAGTAAGTTTGTCCTACAAGTAGTGCTATCTTCCATTCGAGCAGTAGGAGAAAGTAAGGGAGCTAGTTTTGTTTGCCCTCATTAGCAGCCATCTTTAAGAGCAACGCCCACATCCTTTGCAAACAAATCCTTTCCGGTTTTGGACGGTTGCGGGTAGGCTGCATTTAATGATGCTATGACATTTATAGATTTGAGGAATGCTTTTGGTTCAATACACCATTCACTTATCAATGATATGCTGCATACTGTCAATCTACCACCTTCTATCATCCTTTACATTACCAATCTCTACTCTAAGCTATCAGCCTCTATAATCACTCGTCAGTGGTCCACCCCCTCATTTAAAATCTCGAGAGGAGTTTTTCAGGGTGACACTCTCTCCCCCCTACTGTTTCTGTTGTGTTTTCAGCCTATTATTGATTTTATCAATGACTTACCTTTTGAAGGTTTCAAGCTGAAACTCCCTCTAAACCGTACTAATGGCCTCCCGCCTGTTAATTCATGCATTTATGTAGAATGGCAGGAGGAGACCTCAACTGAACCGGCTGGGTGGTACCACTGTACTGTTGTGGAATATAATTCCGACTCTCGAGCAGTCCTGAAATACCGAGATAATGCTACCGAGACTATTGACCTAAACACTGTTAAGTGGGAGCTGACTAGGAAGAATGGTAAAGCGTATCTGCCTATGGATTCTGCTCCTCCGATCTATCCTCTTAAAGAAGTGCGTAAGGCAGCTACTCTCACTAAATATGCTTGGTCATCTGATCATAAGGTGAAAGGTTATGCTGACGACCTTACTTTTTTATCTGTCTCTAAAAGTGATCATCAGGCTGGTTTAACAGCTATCAGTCAATCATGCCAGGAATTGGGTCTCGAAATCCGTCCTGACAAATGTACATCTTACTGTTTTGATGGTCAGAAACCTCTACCACGCACATCATTCTCTCTCACTGATGGCTATACAACTAACATCTCCTCTGCACCTACCAAATTTCTGGGTGAAACTCTATGTATTACTGCTAACCAAACCAAACGCTTGGCAGGGAAGAGACTCTGTGGAAAGATATATGATGCTCTCAAGAAGATTGATGAGAGACCTATTCGAGGAGAGTATAAAGTCTGGATCTACAAATCTTACCTGATACCTTCTGTTCTATTCAACCTTACAGTGGACAGGATTTCCCCGTCTACTGCGAAGAAGATCCAGTCAAGAATAACCTCCTACTTGAAAAAGTGGCTGAAGCTCCCAAGGTGTGCTACACTGTCCTCTCTATTTCACCCAGAAGTTCTGAACTTACCTTATCTACCTCATCAACTGGCCAAGGCTAAATTACGTCTCCTAGCCTCTGTCTCCCTATCATATGATCATAATATCAGATCTCTATCTTCATTAATACTAGATCCTCAGTTCACTGAGAGTGAGCTAATTCCATCTGATACAGTTACCCTTTTGACTTCACACCAACTACCCTCTACTAGGAAAGATCTAAAAGTTCTTTATTCCACTTTACAAGATGACTATACTGACAGGTGGAATACAC